AGTAGGGACAGGGTTGCTGTCTCTCAACCAGTACAGTACAGTAAGGCTCTAATGTTGGCCACCCAGTAGTAATATAAAAAGTTGGGGAGTGACAAGCCACCAAGACCATGGGGTAACTGTAACATCTTACTGCCTATCCGTGGATGCTTTTTATTCCAAATAAAGCACGACAATTCACTATTTAAATTTGTYAAGAAAGTCCTGGTGAGGAACACTGGKACGCTCTGAAATAGATAAAGTAATTTGGGCAATATTGTCATTTTGATCACGTTGATTCTACCCCCCAGGGATAGAGGCAGGGATGCCCATGTAGTGATGTCCTTCTTAAGGTTCATCAGGATAGGCAGAAAYTTTGCTGTAAAAAGATCTTTGTGACTGTGAGTAATCCAAATACCAAGGTATTTAAATTTGGCAGAGCTAATTTTGAAAGGAACTGGACCCATATGCTGCTTTTCAATTGGAGTCACAGGCATCAATTCACTTTTTTTGAAGGTTAACCTTATAACCAGATATGTTTCCAAACTTTTGAAGTAAAAGAAGTACCTCAGGAACACTAGACAACGGATCTGAGATAAAACGAAGAGTATCATCAGCGTATAAGGAAACTTTATGTTCAGTGCCAAACCGATTAATACCTTTAATCTTAGGGCTGTTCCGTAAAGCCACTGCGAGTGGTTCAATCGCGATTGCAAATAAGAGTGGCGAGAGTGGGCACCCCTGCCTTGTACCACGTTCCAATTCAAAATAGCTGGATAGATTACTGTTAGTGCGTACTGCTGCCATTGGTAAGGTATATATCAGCTTCACCCATGAAACAAATTTAGGACCGAAGTTAAACATCTCCAAGGTCTTAAAAAGATAGCTCCACTCCACCCAGTCAAACGCTTTCTCGGTGTCCAGCGAGATTAAAATTTCATTGCAATTGTGACCGGGTGGAGCAGAAGTATACAGCACATTAAACAACCGCCTCATATTAAAGAAGGATTGATGATTTTTAATAAAACCGGTCTGGTCAGGTGAAACAATTGTGGGGATAATCTGTTCGACTCGTTTTGCCAACATCTTTGTAAGAATTTTTACATCAGTATTTAAAGGCGATATTGGGCGATATGAACTGCAGCTCAAGGGGTCTTTATCCTTCTTTAAAAGCAAGGAAATTACCGCCTGACGCACAGACAGTGGCAATAATTGTGTAGCTAAAGATTCCTCAAAAACTGATAACAACAGGGGAGAAAGTAGATCCGAAAATTTCTTAAAGAATTCTGCCGGGAACCCATCTGGTCCTGGAGATTTTCCATTTTGCATGTTTTTAATTGTGGAGTTTATCTCATCTGAAGAGAAATCTCTTTCCAACTCGTTAGATAGATCAGAACTTAGTGAAGGGATTTTAATATCTTTAAAAAAAATCATCCAATTCATCCGCTAAAATTTTTTACATTTTTTATCGCCATATTTTTTATTTAGAACGTATTCTTTTCTCTCGCTTCGTCCGCCATTACTAGCTTTAAAAAAATCTCCGGTCGGGCCGCAATGCATTATGGGATATGCTGGGCCGGGAAGGATCCATCGGACCTGTCCTTCAAATCGGGGAAAAGGAAGGACGTATTTGTCGACCGCATCGAAGGAGTCTTCGGTTTGGGACGTCCTTCGTCGCGGCGTTATGACGTATGCAGCCGATGAATTCGGCCTTCGGAGGACCCAGCCCGCCGTTTTGGACACAGCCCAACTCCCTGCTTTACTGCCTATGTTTTTAGCGTTAGCTGCTAGTACTAGTCTGTGAAAAAGTCACAAAAGTTAAAGCATCTGTGAGCTACTGGTATAAAACGTGAGTTCTGTTGTGTGCCGTTGTGTCCACTAAGCAGCAGGTATGATCGAGTAGTTAGTTTTTATCCATTTTCCTCTTGATGAGGAGGTGACAGCAGTGGATCATAGCATTACAGGGAAAACTTATCTTTAAAAGCTCACGCTTGCATTTGTAATCGGCATTTCTAACCTGAGGATATTCAAGAGCCAGCATCAGAAARGAGAAGACGGAGGTTACAAAAGGGAAATGTACATTTATCCCCTTTTACTGCCAAGATGAGAGAGGAAAGACCTCCTCCACACGACAGCTAGCAGGAAGATAACACAGCAGCCGGTAAAGGTAGGTGTATGTGTGCGCACGCGTTTGTGTTATATGAAATGTTTTATGCGACTTTGTCATGAGTTTTATGCAAAAGTAAAACCTTGTTAGA